CGGCCTTTAAGGTGTCGCGGATAAATACAACAAAATAAAACTAGTACCGGTACCGAAAAAAAGAAGATTTATTCATAACACACGTGAAAAGACCCAGGAAAACAGAGTTAACGATAAAAACGCTAACAAAATAACACTGAAAACCAATAAAAAACCTGAAAACCATACACCTGAGCCTCAACTCTCGCGGCCCGGTACCAAGCGACTCACGGACCGGTACCGGTCCGAGGCCCGGGGGTTGGGGACCGCTGATCTACATGACATATGTTATATCATCACATTGCCTTACACCCCACCCAGCAATGGGCTAAAATGATTGTTTTTAGCAAATAAACATATCTCATTTCTAACTTTTGTTTTTTCAATGTGAATAAGTATATGCCAATTATTCCACCAACACAGAAAGCAGTACTGCAGCACGGGCATGTATTAGTACTTCTAAATCAATACAGTCACAACATGTTGGAAGATTGTATAGATTTCTATGAAAGCTGTTACCAAACGCTGTTTTCCAGTGTAGACGTGATAAACTTGTTGTTTTTCATCCATTTTCAGAATTTTTTGAAAGAACTCTACTAGTGGGAGCAGAAAATAGTTTAAAACTGAATTAATAAAAACTCGTTCTCTTAATGTTCTCAAGAAAATATCACTATCTTAGATAAAGGTGTCAGATTCGGGGTGAGATGTGTAAGCTCTTATTGTATTTATTTCCAGGCGTGTCTGTCTCCTTATCACTCAAATGCAACAATGAAGAGGGGAAAAACTTGTTTTTGTCAGAAACAGAAAGGCATCCGGCGATTACCTCCACCTCCACTCAAAGTGTTTTGCTTTCTTCGTAATGGTGACTAATGGCTAACATCGCATCAATAATCTCACTTGGGGCTCCACAGTTTGTTTTCATTCAAGCACAAAATCAATTTAAAGTCTAGTGTCCCCCCTAAAAAGAATTAATGAATGTTCTTCTTCATTTGTGCTGCCGGGTGCCTTCTCTCCCAGATGAAGTTGCCAAGGGCACACACAAAGTCATTGTTTAAGAAAGCTAACCACAGCTACCGACAGCTACCCGCGGGCATGTTGGGAAAAAAACCTCTCCTGATAAGGAATTTTTCAGCATAATGCAGTTCCTTGGAGACCTTTACTCACCTGAGCTGCAGAATGCAACAGGTCTGTATTTAAAATGAGAAATTATAGTAACATTGAATCTTCATACAGTTGTTCTAATTTCCACAAGTGAAGCTAGAGTCTGTTCAAAACCAGCCAGCACTGCACTCGTGGTGTCGCAGTTTCACTAAAGTAACATGAAAGCAAACGAAGCATCAGTGAGCCAATTCTACACAAAGAGGAACAAACACAAAATTAACTACTAATGTTGGCTAACATCGATTAGCTTCCTCCAAACCCAGGTGTTCAACATAAATCCAATGCTCCATGTGTGAGTGGACAGAAGGCTTTTATTGTGATACATTTGCAGGCATGTAGCTGGATGTAGTGAGGGGGGCAGCCTTTATTTAAAGACTTTTACTTCACTCTTGGTTTTCTATTAGAGGAAACACTTTAATCAGATGACAAAAGGTCAGACCCATAAAAATCAATGAGCTAATGTTACTTTGATCCTAGTTTGTTATCTAGTGCTTGGCATCTCCTGTTTGGTAACTTGAGGAATTATCTGACTGGACAAAGACTTTTTCCAGCTGTGCACCACATTCCTGTAAATGGACATGCTGCTTGCAATGCCATGTGGGAGGAAGTATGTTACAAAGCATTCTTTATGTTTTAGACCTTTACTGTTTAGGACAACGTTGGTCCAACTAGTGGGCAATCTCAGCTCTTACTCTGAAAGTTCAGTCGCTGCTGTAAAGCTACACCTGGACCTTCCTGTCAGGTGTTTCCATACCACCTGGCTCACTGGCTGGCCACTCTTATGGCATGTTTATGGTAATATGTCTCATTTACAAGGTGACAGGGGGAGACACATTTTTAGACATAAGCTGTAATGGCCGCCGTTTTCTTTGTGAGTATTTATTACACGGCGTGCTGCGGGGAAAAGCCTGTTCTAACGTTTGAGTCTAAGGTTTATTTTTTTGCTTCTCAACCGTAAATACTCTGCATCTTTCACGTGATTCCGTTTATTTTGAAAAGTCTCAACAGGATCTTGAGCTTTATTGTGAAAGGTTTATGTGGAAAATAAACAAGCTGACACGCTTTACCGTCATTGTTGCTAACGACAACGCATAAAAACAGGCGCTTGTCCGTCCATAGTGTGGTTGTATTAAATATAAGAGAAAGAGAGAACTTTAAGAAATTAATATAGCCACTACAGTGGCCATCAGAACCATGAAAAAATATTGCCTTAAACGTTCATTTTGCAACACCACGAAACAAACGATAGCGTAAAATGAAACGATAGATGTTTTTATATCGTCATCTGATATATATCGTTATATCGAACAGCACTAATTCCCAGTTACTCTCCAAAAAGTTGATTCTGTTCATCTGGACGTAGCGTTTTGTGGGAGGAACGTCCACTGAAGAAGTCACTTGAGTGACGAAACGTTCCTCCCACAAAATGCTACGTCCAGATGAACAGAATCAACTTTTTGGAGATTTACTTTACTGGATGATTGAGAATGCATCAACACATTCCCAGTTACTGTGTTAGGAAAAGTCTGTTTTCTCAAACTTCTTCGGGTCATCTCTCAGATGTGTAATTCCATTCAAACGCTCACTCAACTTAAGCTTAAAACAGCAAACTCCCGAAAAACCACAAAGAAATAACGAGGGTAAGTGTTAGACTGCGAGTATTTAAATGTGAGGTTTTCAAACATGATTTTTCACTTTCAAAACTGCAGCCGGAGACGAGAAAAACAAAAATCAAACCAAACACTTGATCTGTGCTCCATCTTTTATGCAGCTGTCCATGTTTGAATGTTTTATAACACCCATTACCCTTACACTTTAACTAAACCACTTTTTTGAGGAGATACTCACACCTAACCTGACCCACACTGTGATCCACATCCAGCTTCTGTGCAACACAGCCTTTTAAATGAGTGAGAGAAACATCAATAATTGATAAAACTGATGACGACACTGGCAGCAAATGAGCAAAACAAGAAGATTTACTTTAATTATTCCATATTTGGAAAATAATTTTGTTAACAGTTGAAACAACAGTAAAATATAAAGTTTATGCATAATGAAAGTAATATGAAGAGTCAAATGTAGAGAAAAAGTTAATGAATTCTTTTATTTGATCTTTCTCAGCCTGCAGTAAATTTTCTCTCATATTTGTTTGATCAGCAGACACAGGAAACTTATAAAGAGAGCTGAGCGACACAGCAAGAGTCATGACTGGCTTTGTCAGTAATTAATTTGACCAGAGCCGCCGCACCCAGACTCCACACGTCCATCACCTTTAATAAAAAGATTCTTGTGACATTTAGATCTTCCATTTATTTTCTACTTTCTGACAGCAGATGCTGTAGACTGCAGCGGGGGGAAAAAAATGGGGACACTGATCTCTTTTTTTCCCCCCTTTACTGGAAGCAGCAGCCACCAGAATATTTCATACCAATTGAGCAGCTGATTGAGACATTAAATCTAACCGCTGCACAGACACTGAGCGGCTTGGAGGCCTGTACCAAAAAGACAAAAATAAAAAAGAGTAGAAGAAAAGCATTCTGCCATTACCGTTTGTCACCCACTGACAAGCCCATTATTCTGTCCTCTCTGCTCTGCCACTGATCTGCTTTGCTGTCTGCTGGGTCTTTTCTGACCAATTACATCATCACTGCAGTCGCATCACTGCAGGAAGTCGACATGGTGGCGTTTACTTTGAATTAAAAAGTATAAATAGTGGCCTGCTTTTTATTTTTGTAGAACTTTGTATAAGTTTAACGGTTTAAAGTAAAAAAAATTGGTTTTATTAGAACTTGGATTTCAAGAAGCTTGCTGGGATGTCGGTTTTAGCTGCGCACCTGGGAGGACACCTCGAGCAGGTGGGCTGGTGACATTCACAGGTTATTTTAAGCGACTTTATTTCCTGGATTCTATGCATTAAAAAAAATAAACCCAATGATCTAATGCTCATCCTGCGCCGTTTGATCAGTAAATCAGATAACAGGGTGTGGCAAGGTCTCACTATGGGTTCACCCAAAACCTTGGCTGAGAGTGACTCGTTAGGTAGAGGATCAATAGGGGGTCCATGACCCTATTGGGGACACTCCCAATCTGGGACTCTCCACCAGACGCTCTCAGTACTGAAGAAACTTCTCGGATGAAACGTCTTCAAGAAACTTAAAGAAGTCCAGACGCTTTTTTCTTAGACTACGATGATCTGGATGACTGAGAACCTTCACAGACAACCCAAAGTTCCTTTTCTAAATCTGCTTACTTGTATGTAAAGAAAATTACAAGAAGGCACCAGGTCACAATTCAGCATTGGAATACAATTAGGCTCTGTGGCTTACTGTAACTACTCTCAGCTTTTCTGTTTTTTGTCTCCAATGACTTGAGAGTTCTGTCTGCCTGTGTCCCTTTTCTTTGGGGAAGTGACTCGCCAGTTCAGAACCAGTAAACTTAATAACCTCAGACAAGTTTATGCTCAAGTTTGAAACTTTTTGCATATCTAAAACATGTCACATTAGGGTTGTGCAAATGGATGATGATTACGGGGACTGATAAAGGTCAGAGCGATCACCAAAAGCTCATTACTCAAATACTGTTTTCCTATTCCATCCATATGAAATTCATATTAGCCTACAGACAATATGCTTTTCTGCAGTTTCATGCCATCAAGTCTGAGCATGCACAACAGTTAACAGAAGCTTTTGATTAGGAGAAGAAACCAGCATCACAAACACCTTCTGCTGGCATAGCCGGCGATCCGTATGGACATATGTCACATATATCCATGTTTTGGGGTGTTGGATCATTAGAATTAACAGCTAAGGCTGCAGTCTTTAACCTACAAGCTTAGGAAAATACAGTTTCAATTTAAAGCCAAGGAAGTGCGTTCTACGACTTTCCACAACAAAATTAAACTTTAATAACACAAAGAGCTGTGAGAGATGAGCAGGTTTAAAAAGCTCTTCTGTCTTTTTAACGAGGATCCGTAAAGAGAAGGTGGAGGAAAATGCACTGCCCTGCTCATTTTAAGAGTACAGAGTTTACTGTGTGATGGCTGTGAGTTGCTATATTAGAAAATGTTAGCGACATTAGAGAACACTGTCACAGCTCAGAGTTAGAAAACTCTATTTAAATAATTTAATGGCGCAGACTGCATCCACTTCAGATGACAAATGGAAAGCCTGAATCGGTCTCAGATCACACTGCCAGCCACTCTGCATGTTTGCATGAGAGAGACAGAGGGAAAGAGACCAATGTCAGAACTTGCCACATGTTCCCATTTTGTGTCTCTGCATTATGGTCGAAGAGCACAGACTACATCTTTATAGCTTCATACTTGTCTCATTAAGAAATATCAAAGGAGATTAAGGTTACTTTCTGACATAAAATCAGAGCCTGTGGTTAGAATATTAGTTGCAATTAATGCGTTGCACTTGCATGCTTCCTCCAACCAGCTAATTTAAAGTCAACATCATCTCTGCCTGTACTGTAGTGCAGACTTGGGAGGAATTTATTGAAATGTCTGTCAACTAAATCTACTTCGAATATCGATGGTCCTGCAAAGAGCTCCTAAAACAGGGAGGTTTTAT